TAAAGAAACAAACAATAACAACACTTGTATAATTCATACTAAAAAGCTAACTGTATACTCCATGTGTGAGTGTGTATGGTTGTACTGTTGTACATGTTTTATCCATAACATTGGGGGACAGAAAGCATTTAAAGTAATTCTGAAAGGCCGTTTCTCTTTCTTCCATCAATTTCTGGAAAAGAAAAATTAGTATTCATGAGGCTGTTGCACTAATGTAAGCAAATGGTGGTAGGGCACTCTCACTGGAGTTTCAGATCAGTCAGACTACTTCATTTATTTCATGTTACTAAACACCCGCAAATACTAGATTTTCCTTTTAAGAAACGTCTAAAAACTGGTCATCAGCTGTGTGTGTGTGTTCACTGGACTTTTGGACCATTCTTCTAGAAGCGCATTTGTGAGGTCAGGGACAGATGTTGGATGAGAAGGCCTGGCTCACAGTCTCCGCTCTAATTCATCCCAAAGGTGTTCTGTCGGGTTGGGGTCAGGACTGTACAGACCAGTCAAGTTCTCCACACCAAACTCGCTCATCCATGTCTTTGTGGACCTTGCTTTGTGCACTGGTGCGCAGTCATGTTGGAACAGGAAGGGGCCATTCCCAAACTGTTTCCACAACGTTGGGAGCATGAAATTGTCCAAAATGTTTTGGTATGCTGAAGCATTAACAGTTCCTTTCACTGGAACTAAGGGGCCAAGCCCAACCCCTGAAAAACACTCCCACACCAAACTTTACACACTTGGCACAATGCAGTCAGGCCAGTGCCATTCTCTTGGCAACCGCCAAACCCAGCCTTATCCATCAGATTGCCAGACAGAGAAGCGTGATCACATCTCCACTGCACTAGTGTTTAGTGGCGGCATGCTTTTAACCATGTATCCGACGCTTTGCATTATACTTGGTGATGTAAGGCTTGGATGCACCTGCTCGGCCATGGAAACCCATTCTATGAAGCTCTCTACGCACTGTTCTAGAGCTAATCTGAAGGCCACACGACGTTTGGAGGTCTGTAGCTCTGTAGCTCTTGACTCTGCAGAAAGTTGGCAGCTTCTGCAGATGCGCTGACCACGCTTTGTGACAGCTGAATCCCAGCTGACATCGGGTGAAAGGCGGGGTACACCCTGGACAGGTCGCCAGTCCATCGCAGGGCCAAATCGCTTCCACTTAGTCATAATACCACTAACAGTTGACCTTGGAATATTTAGTAGTAAGGAAATTTCACAAATGGACTTATTGCACAGGTACCAAGCTTGAATTCACTGAGCTCCTGAGAGTGACCCATTTTTTCACAAATGTTTGTAGAAGCAGTCCACATGCCTAGGTGCTTGATTTTATACACCTGTGGCCATGGAAGTGATTGGAACATCTGAATTCAATGATTCCGAAGGGGTGTCCCGATACTTTTGGCAATATAGTGTATACCGTCAGATCACACAGCCCTATTTATCAATGCAGTTATATTGTAAATCAAACGCTGTCAAGTTTTTTGGATGTAAGGAACGGCAAGCTTGTGTAGATCATCTGCCTTTTGCTTATTGCTCATACTTAATGGAAGAGCTAGTGGTGGAGGGGGAGTGGATATCTGCTCTGTCATTTTTGTAGCCATGTAGCCACCAGACTTGTATTCTTCCCCAATTCTGTGGAGAGGGGTATTGACTAACACATCTCCAGAATTTGTTCACCATACCAATTATTAAGGGAAACTTACTTAATGTCTTGCAGACCTTGGATAGATATACTGTTGATTTTGTTTGCCGTTGTTTATGTTTTCCAATTGAGCTAAGAACCCAAGTGGTTTCTTTAGGTCATCCAGAGGTGTTGTTGCGCAAAGTCAGTCGAATCTGAAAATGTACTTTTGGCTTGCATACCAAAAACTTGCAAACAAATGGATACACTTGGACTGCCAAGAAAAACTTCACATTCACACTTGTCTTTCTACTTGCATATATTTGCATCTTTTTGTATACCAACTTAATTTAGAAATTTTGGACTTCCCCAACTCCCGTGCACACAGTTGTGCACTGCCTTGCAAGGCCAGGTGGACCTAATTCAGCAATCAGCTGTAGCACTCCTGGGGCAGAACTAGAGGACAGAAAAGGAACAAGGATGCACAGCACAGAGAAACACATACAGCCGTAACAACATTTACCAGATACAAAACCTGGCTTTAGAAAGTCATAAAATATCATGTTGAAACCATTGTGCATTAAGTTCACTGTATGTAAAACCACCATTTCCCCCTCTCCTTTGCCTTTCATGTCTCTGTACAGTCCTATCAAAGCAAAATGCCAGCATTTTAAGAAATATTTTCCAATTACTTTACATTCAGATTGCACTTTCATCTTGGATCTGTGTCTAACAGTACCCAAAATATTCTTTATGTTGACCCAATTGGGTTTCTAATGAATGTGAGCATGGAACTGAATAAATGATCTATAAATAGTATCAGATGTGTGAATTTTGTTTTGTGGTGGTACTTTAAAAGGTCTGTGGGGTGGTGGTGGTGCAATTGATAAGACACATGCCTTTGGTGTGAGAGACACGGATTCAATCCCCCACTGTGACCCATCCACCATTGTGTCCCTGAGCAAGACACTTAACCCCTAGTTGCTCCAGAGGCGTGCGACCTCAATTGTAAGTCGCTTTGGATAAAAGCATCAGCTAAATGAATAAATGTAAATGTCTGAGTTTCCTCAAATTAAGGAAGTCTGAAACTGTCACATATAACTCTAGTACAAGATAACTCAGAATGGGTTTCTGGTCTCTATTATAGGATAAATGGATATGTATTACTCTAATGTGAACATTTGGTAATTTTTAATTATGAAAAAACAGGATTTAAATATGTTTGTTTTAGGTTTTGATTATAAGACTAAGACTCTTCAATCGAAGTATCTGTAAAATGGCATTAAAATTAATTTTTCATCACAAACCCGTAATTTTACAGGAAGTTTTCTTTTTTAACCCCATTAAAAGGTGTGAACGCCTGTCATTTAACTATAAATTAAATATTACCTTTCTGTAATTTTACCACTTTGGGGCAATTAAATACTATTTAATCTAACTTGTAATCTAAGAATTATAATAAAAAGCTGTGAAATTACAGTAATTATGGCTGTTTTCAATGATCAAAACTGTGTTTTGACAGTTTAACAATACTTGTAGACACTATATACTGATTAAAATAACATTTATTCAATGTTTTTATTTTCCAAATAGCCATAATTAAAGGAGATATTTGTCAATTAACAAGAAAATCTATTTCAAGTTACAGAACAAATGTCTTGTTACCGTTAACTGTTACTAATTGTACGAAGTTTAAGAAATGTTTTTACAGTATTAAACTTAAATTTAACCCTTTTTTCTTTTAAATAAAAAATATGGGAAATTCCTGAATGTATTGTAACAGTTTGTTTACGTGAAAAACCCCAAAAGTTTCCTTAAAATAACAGAAATGTTATGGTATTGACAGCTACAGGTTTTTCATGTTATTTTACATTAGACATGTAAATTCAGTGTATTTTTGTAATTTTTGATAATTTCATGTATTTCAAAAATACAGGGAAAATCTGTGAAATAAAAAGGAATAAAACTGTCAAAGTACAGATTTTTTTACAGTGTAACAATTAAAATTAATATATTCAAAACTCATTCTTGTCTGTACTCATTTTCAAGCCCAAGAAGAGATGGAGTATCTGTCTACCTTAGACTTCTAGATACAAATAAACTTGCCCTTTTCACTCCCACTGAGTGAATAAAGTAGTTTTTGCCCTCTGTCCCTGCAGACTTTGCTCTAATAACTCAATTCAAAACATTTGGAGGTGCAGCAAGAGAGTGCTGTGAGTGCTATACCTGATAAGATACTGGCCATTTGTCCATAATGGCTCTTACAATCAATAAGTGAAATATATGCAAAATTTGCGTCTTGTGAATATTGTTACTTTCTGTAAGTGCAGCTTTATATGCACGTCAGGTTATCCCCACTGTAGGGCATTTTCCACCATCAGGTGATTAGAGACTATGTCCCTATATTTCCCCATGTCTCATCCTTTCAGTACTGTGGTCAGTGTTTGAGTTGTTCTCAACATTACACTTACATTTTTAATTCTTCAGTGTTAATCATTTTGTGTTTTCAAGACTTCCAGGTAGAATTTAGCGTTTTAATTAAGCTACGACCTTTCCCTGCTACAACCATAGCATGACTCAAAATCCTTAATAAACAAATACATGTCTTTATCATGTTTTATATTGCTATGAGAGAATCTTGCGACAGCATGTATCCCACTGAAAATGGTACTTGGAATGGGCAGCTGTGATAGTTGCGAGATGCAGGGAGAGCTCATTACTGAAGAATGTCTATTATGACTGCTCTTTTAAAAATGTGATATTAGCCTTCTGAAAAAGAAGGGTCTTGGAAAAATTGCAGGCATGGAAACAAGCCACATTAATGGTCACTTACAGATTTGAACTTTTCTGACCAAAACATTTGTTTTTATAACCTTCTAAAAATCTTAGATTTTATCCATTCCTGGCATAGTTCTTGAAATAAAGAGCAGTGAAATCCAACATGTTTGTTTTCTCTTATGCCTGAATCTTACTGTACAGTTTTTTTTATAAATTGTGGTTTATTGGTTTAATACTGGACTGTGCCTGCAGCCAGTATGTTGCCTTGTTTATAGAAATCTGATCATTTCTCAGGAGGAGCTGCAGGCTGAAAAAGTTTAATCACTCCAAGTGATGCAAATGCATTAATTAGCCTATTCACATTAATTAATTAGTTAGAAAATATCTGCCAGCGATTCAGTCGATGTGTTGAATGATAAATTCAAGTAGGTTAGTTGAAGGCATTTATGTGAGACATTTGAAGAATTGCTCAATGTTTGTCCTTGAGAACAGTAATTTTTACAGGGAGCATATGAAATCCTGTACACCTTTATATTATGGAGCAGACACAAAGGTGCATAATTTATGCTGAACAAAAATATGAAGTTATAAAACATACCCATCGGCAGAAAGAAGAAAAAAGGCAGCCAACACAAGATGAACATCCCCACAACGATGGCGAGTGTTTTAGCCGCCTTTTTCTCCCTGGAGAACTTCATCAGCCGCACTGAGAGCGAACTTCGAAACGGATGGTTTTTGCTGCTTTTTGAGCTGCACTGCCGCGCGTCCTCCAGCACGCTGCGACAGTGTATCCGGAGGACCACTTCCATCGACTTGTTTCTCTCCCTTTTTACGCCTGCTTCTAAGCTCTTGGTAGTCCTGCGGGCCACCACGTACACCCTAAAATACATGATGAGGATGACCATGAGCGGGAGGTAGAAAGAGAAGAGAGAGGAGAAGAGCGCGTAGCCCGGTTCTTCTGTGATCCTGCAGATGCTTTCGTCCACAGGCGGCGGTTCCTTCCATCCCAGGAGCGGTCCGACGGAGATGACCGTGGATGATACCCACACTAGTGCTAATATAGCCACTGCCTTCCTCTCTGTCATAATACTTGGGTATTTCAGGCAGTGTTTAACACCTATGTACCGGTCTACGGAGATGATGCAGAGGCTGAGGATGGATGCGGTGCAGCAGAGCACATCCACCGCAGCCCAAATGTTACAGAAAACCCGGCCAAACATCCAGCATCCCAGAACCTCCAGAGATGCAGAGAAAGGCAGCACGATAATGCTTAACAGCAGGTCTGCCATGGCTAAGTTGACAATAAAGAAGTTTGTGACCGTTTGCAAATGTTTATTGCACACCACAGACAGGATAACCAAAATGTTCCCAACAATTGCTACCAAAATAAAAATGGAGAGAATGATCCCAACCCCGACAACCTGTGAGTCCATTGTGAAGTTCGTGCATGTGGTGATGCTATCGTTTGGAAATGTCTGGTGCAGAACGGATCCATTGAAAGTTTCAGCAAAATAGATCCCATAGTTGCTTTGGTTCCTCAAGTTAGAGTCTGTCATTTTGAAACGCCATAAAGAGAACTTTAGAGTAAGTTATCTAAAGAAAGCGGCGTGTCGGGCATTGTTTTCAGTCTCTCTTACCAGCAACACAAGCGGGCCGCGTCATCGCAGTCATAATTTGCTACAGGTCAAGCCAAATATATTTGAAAAATAAAAATAAAAATGGAAAGTCCTTATAACTACAGGCACATGCATGCATGATTAGAAAACTGCTCTTAGCAAAAACAGACATATTCTCACTCAAAAACAATTGAGGTGATTCTGGAGCAAGTAAAAGTATTTACAGAATAATAATAAAAATACAAATGCATTCAGCTCCATTTTCAGGCATTTCTTCCATGTGATGGTTTTTCCTCTGGTGGCATCCTTTGTAACTGATCACAGAGTCAGAGCTAGAACAGCAGGTCTGAACCTAGAGCTCCACCCACACGTCACTTATTTACTGTTGCGTTCACGGTCTCCAAAAGGGAGCGTCAATTTAAAACTTGTCACGAATTCTATATGATGCACTAATTGAAACTGGTCTGCCACCTTTATCTGACTAGTTTCCATTAGCAGGTATTAAATGTCTTAGAATTTTGTGCATTATGTCTTATATTCTTATAATTCCCTCATGAGAAAATAAAGTTTTAAAAAAACTCTATATCAGCCACTAAAAACCATCTCAATTTCACCCCAGGATGCAAACTTAAGCTGATGATAAACGGGCAACTTTTTGAGCAATGTTGCTGGGCAATTGCTAGTGGCAAGTCTGACTATGTTTTGAACGGATAGCGGCGGTACAGGGCGGGTGGTGGAGTAATCTTTACTCATTACCATTGACGGCAATGTTTCTCTTCACGATTGCTCTAAAAGTTGCTGTGTGTATCATCAACTTTACTTTGCTTGTAGCAACACAGAGCGTTGTGACATCCAGCTCCATCTTTTACATATATATATATATATATATATATATATATATACATATACATATATATATATATATATACATATCTCTCTCTCTCTCTCTCTCTCTCTCTCTCTCTCTCTCTCTATATATATATATATATATATATATATATATATATATATACACACACACACACACACACACACACATATATCTATATATATCTATCTATCTATATATCTCTATATCTATATATATCTATCTATCTATCTCTATATCTATCTATCTCTATATCTATCTATCTCTATATCTATCTATCTCTATCTATCTATCTATCTATCTATCTCTATATCTCTATATCTATCTATCTATATATATCTATAGCAGCACTTTTGTTTCTAGTCACAGTGAGCCTGCTCAGCTGTCAGGGCACATCCTCTGTATTGGATTTATTAAAAAAACTAAAACCTCATCCTGCCCACCTGCTCCTCCTTACAAGAGGGCTAAATCTGCAGTCATGGAGAGCCAACATTAGGGCACACTGTACAGGAGAGATTTTTTTATGGCACAGAGCCTGACAAAGTCAAGGAAGTTTCAGATAATGATGGGATGAAATGTCCCTGATGGTATTATTCTTTATTATTTCATTGTCCTCCTGAATTTTTTTCTGAATGTATTTCCTCAGCTAGTTGAAATGAAACAATGACTGACTAAAATTTGCAACAATAGATTGTTTTCAGTCACTTGTGGGCAGCGAAAAAAGCTGGGAACACAACATTGGCATATTGTTACCTCTTAAGTTGATATCGCAAACTTGTTAGCTGCGGATGCAGGTTATAATTCTCTGCAGGTTTATCACTACAAGCCATCTGTTTCACATTGTCACATTGTCATTTAATACATTAATATCGATTATCGCTGCTTTAATAGTTAAGTTAATTGTGTAGGATCGGTAGCACCTTTAATATTTTGCTGGGCAATTTTAGGACCTGGACCAAGATCCTAAACATATAGCTAAAAGCCATCAATCCACTGATTTTGGGTGGCAAACAGTGAAATGCACTTGACAAACCAATGTGTCTGTGTTTCCTTTGCTGAAGACCAGTCTAAAGGTAAAGACACATAGTTGGTTGCTGTAAATGTCTTGTGGAGCATATAGGGAGGGCGAGCCCATTCTCATTGCAGGGTGTTCAATATCAACGCTTTCAGAAAAAGTGACAAAACACTCTGGGGCATCCCGTACAGACCAGAAGTGCTAGTTAGCTAGCCTGATAGCTAGGTACGTTCGGGATAAAGGTGTTGACAGCCCCCTGAAGCCTCTACCCTTACCACAACCATCAGAAATGTTAGTACCTAAACCTAAGTCACTGACTTTATGCATGTCGACCGGCTAACCCTACAGCTGCTAACAGGTAGGGTTAGCCTCCCTTGTGTTGCTGCAACGTAGCAAACGGGGGCATTTCATACGATTTAACATCATAGCGATTGTTTAGTTTCATATCCACTGTGCAGAGCCAAAATAACAAACTACATAGAGCACCCTGGAGGTCTTTGATTTTTTTCCCTTCTTTTTTTTGTGGCTATTCAGCCTAGCAGAGTACATGTGATTAACATGAAATGCTAATGTGCAGCAGCTTTTGGTCACTTAGCGTGTCTTACCATGGGCTCATGGTATGGCAACACAAGGCTGTCGTAGCCTATATGAATTAATTCTAATTTGATGAGTATTTAGAGTATTTGTTCTTTGTGTTATTTATCTTATTTATTTATCTTAATTTGTGCGTGATCGCAAAAGAAAAGTCTGTATCATACACAACCTTTCCCATCAGCTACACTCCACTCACCACAAAGGGGTTTCACCCCTTTTCAAAATGCATGGTATTTCCAGTGATAGTGTACTGTGGACAATAGAATTGCCTATACCATTTTGAATAAACTATTTCATCCAAAGTCAATTGTAAAAAAGTGTCAATGTGTTAAGAGAAAGAGGGAAATTCTGTCATTTGTTATGATGCTCACCCAGTTATTCGAACACAAACACATTCTTTCTCTCTCTCTCCTGCCTCAGACTCTCAATATGGTAATCTGCCCTAGACTTTGACTGTGTGCTATCTTATCAGCCCTCAGCAGAGCGCTGGGATTCAGTCGGCTACAAGTCATGTCATGCTTTGGTATCTCTTCATACACGACTCTTTAAAGGCTCGAATGTCTGAAAAGGTCAAATGGTCAGAAGTTTCTCATACTGCTTCTTGGTTTGCCACATTTTATAGCCAGGAAGACAACTGACCGGCATATGTGTGTGATGTTAAAGAAACATAGAAACAAAATGCACATTTGCAAAGTTCAAATATTAACTGTGTTGCATTTTGGTCTTATGTGTGAAAATTCTGAGGCCGTCCTAATATGAAACAGTAAAGCACCTTTTTGGTCTAAATTGAAGCCATTTTACTTCAAGGTCAAACAAGGATGTATTCTTTTCACTCAAGATTCACTGTAAACCAGCAGCAGTATCAAATGCCTCTCACCCTCTTTGCATTCAAAAGTGTTTTATACCATGTACCTGTGCCTGATAAAAGCCCTCTTATCAGGCAGAGACAACTTGTTGCATTTACTGCTTAGTTTTAATAGTGTAGGAATGGATGCATTCATCATACTTTGTCAATGCTTAATTAATGCCATTACACAAAGACACCTCCAGGTAGAGAAATGTGGAAAGAGGAGTGTCATCAGGGACGCATTAAATAATTTCCACCTCTTAACATAAGAATGCTGTCATCTCTGGCTTTGACACTGCAGAGACTTCTGTAACATTTTTACTTTCATCCTTAAAATCTCAGTCTTAATCTGATCTAAATCTGATTTATACTACTTTCCATCATTCTGGATGCTTAAAATGATTTTATAAAATTATTAATACACGAATTTTGACTTACAAGCAAGTGTACTTTTGTGACCCCAAGCTCTTGAATAGAAGAAGGACTCAGTTATCATGGCAACTTGTGGAATGCAAATCATATTATGATTGTCAGTTTGGATTGGCATGTTGTGAGATTATTCTGTTTGTCTAAGAGTTTTAGAGGCCATGGCATTGGACCTGAGATAGACCAGAGTACCAACACGCACACAGGGGAGAATGTGAATCATTTAGAATGATGCTTTAAGAATTAGCAGTGAGCTTCACTGTTTCAAATAATCTCTGGAAAGTCAATTTGCAGATGTGATAATTTTTCAGGCCAAATTTGGGGGACCAAATTTAGGGGCATGGAGAAATACAGGCTGCAAAAATGCAATACACTTAGTTAAAGGTGGAGTAGGTGACTTTGGACAACTAGCGAGAGATAGTTAGATTTAGAATGTATCTAATTGAAAAAGTCAAACATGTGCATTGAGTGCGTGGGCAGAGTGTGCGCCAGCCGGTCGTTTAATTCCAACCTAATGAAATTATTGGTCTTGCTTATTACAGTCCTGCAACAGCCATAGATATCGGATATTTTTCATTTTCAAGAGAATTTCAATAAAATTTGAATCTGAAATAAATAGCCTATGCCAGCTTTATTTTTTCAAATAATGACAATATCAAGGCAGGGGCTAATTGTTGTACTTGGTTGGATGGTTTGGAATAATTCTGATGATTCAACTGAATTGAATTCAGATGTTTTGGGAACAGATATCAAAAGGGACTTAAACATAAAGGATTAGGCCCTTGTAGTATCCCTTCCATTTATTGTGTAATGTATTATTAACACTATAGGACATATATTGTACATAGTACCTGAAACCTTACTAAAACTATTGTTTTAATGGTAGGATGTAGACTATCAGCATAGCAAAGTTCATGCAATATTAATATTCTGAACAACAGCAAATGTTAAATGTTAAATGATGCACATGATGCCTTCTCTATATGTGGCCAAAGATATTGCATTACAGAGCAGAAGATTAATGAGACACATCCAGAAGGAACAAAGCAGTTCTCCTGAAAGCCCCTGGTGTTTGGACCAAATCTCCAGGCTACCTATTGTTTCTCAAATGGAAGGATGCACTGAACTCCATGAAGTCAGTACCTGGCGGCAGTCTGCCCCTCATATATAGTCCAGGTTGGATTGTGAGCTTGCCAGGATGCTTCCTCTGTGAATGGCTTGTTTGAAAGCACATAGGTGGGAGAGAGAGTTATTCAATTGTACGGTGGGTAGACACTGAAATCCAAATTGCTCACAAATAGCAGTGCAGCAGGGAGGGGTCTGTTGGGATGGGGTAGGGGGGTATTTTTTGTATTTTCAAGAATTGGAAACGTCAAATTTACACAATGGCTGTCCACTTGGAAATGTTGGCATGCAGAGAACACACTTAAAGGTAGCCCTATGTTTCTCTAGACAAGGTTACATATAATAAATGAAGAATGTATAACAAAAGGATACACCCATGGCCTTTGTCTAATAGGTTTTACTAAAATGATTCTTCTTGTTCTAAAGGAAACAATTACATGCTATACTTTCTCTG